TATCTATAAAATGTACTTGGAAACGTGTACACCTAAGAGTAGCCAAAATAATCTTGAAGAAGCAGAACAAATTTAGAAGACACAAGCTTCTAGGAACCAAGACCTGTTCTAAAGCATTATAGCCCCAAACTAGAAATAACACAGAGTCCATCAAGCTACCACACATGAGTTTTCCATTTCTCTCATCTTGAGATGGTAGAGGATTGGAACCATGCTGTGGATTTTGGAATTGCAAGAATACTGAGGTACAGTGTAAAAAAACAAGCTTACCTTGGGGAGTAGGTAGTTTCTGAATTTAATGTCACGGGTCACTGCATGGGGGAGGTCGGTCGGGACAAGGTCCAGGTATCTCTGGACCTCATGTATCACAGCATCCGTGTAGGGCATGTGGCTCCTGTCCTGCATGCAGGGGCTCCTGTGTCTACCAATCACACGGTAAATCTCTTCCTGAACTTTAGCTGATAAGACACAAGTAAGAAGTGATGGAATAGGAGAAAAATGGTACATTTATTGTAGGAATGAGGGCTACATGAAGCTATGAAAGTACTCCAATATAATTTTAAACTTAAATTATGAAGCTAGAAGTACCTATAGACTTAGACAATTGTTATAATACAAATGCATATAATTGCACCATAAGCTAGACATTAAGGTAAATCTCTTATGTACATGTATTGATATATATGATAAGTACTACAAACAGAAATGATGAAATGTTTGATATATAAAGTAAGCATATAATTAAGTCATGAAATTACTGTCTTGCAAGAGTAAAAACAGAAATCAAATATTAATTTTATATGAAAACAATATGAGGTTTTAAGAAAATTAAATTTTACTAAATGATTTATACATATGTATTTGTGTCTGCATTTGTGTGTCTCTGTGCATATGTGTGTGTGTACACGTACAATGGTACATCTTTCCACTTCACAAATGTCGCTACTTTGAACATTCTAGAAGCTTCTTCTGAAAAATATGTTAATTTTTCTAAATACAGACTGTTTCTATTTCTTATCCATTTGTCAATAATATTTAATGATATCTCATTATGGGATATGAAAATGTTAATCTCCATCTCCACCTCATATTTAGATATATGAGGTGGAGATATGGACATATTTGGATATACCTTTCAAACAAGTACACAAATACACTTCCCTCAATCCAATATCCAGAATATATTTGGACCACAATTTCTGGTTATATTAGTATTCAATAATTACATCATTCTAACTACATAAATATTCATCCCTGATAAGATAGCTATGATTTTACATTTGATTTTTGATATTTTCTTGGACTTAATGGTGTCTCTTTACTTGAATTCATAACTTTTTATTTCCCTCGTTAGAATTATTTCCAAATTCTTGAGTAGATGTTTCAAACACCCAGTAATAACTTCCTAATTATTGGGAAACCTCAGACTATCAATCACTTCTCTTTGGGCTATTTCCTGTACTCCATTCTTACCAATTTAAAATGACTGATTTTCATTTATAATTAAGCTATTGTAATTTCAGTGGGATCTTGACACATAGAAAAGTATCTGTTGCATAAAAGGTAAATTTCTCAAGTACAGTTATACATAAGAGACAAAATTATTGACCCACTCCTTAAAATATTTTTTATATCTTCAAACCCTAGTTTTATGGATCAGACTTCTGAAATAATAAACTTCCTTTGGGAATATCTTTTGCCTAAATGGAAACACCTTTCTTATGAATCTAACTTTTTAGAATACTTTCCAGATTGGAAATTATCTCAGGTAGCCTCATTAAATATCTAGGATTTCTAAGTATGATTCAGTAAAGAGAGTTTCCGTTTTCCCTAATTTAGTATTAGAGCATGGAATATTCATAACGAGGAAAGGTATCTTCAAAAACATACCTACTGTTTCTTTTTCATAATAAAATCAAAGTACAACCCTAAGCCAATTTGTGTTCGCTCTGTCTGGCATAAATCATTCCCTGGGAAATCTAGATACTACACCAGAGCTCTCTTGCTCTTCCTACTGCCAGGGTGCCTTTACTTCTCTCAGTAATCCTTTCCTATTGTGCAAAGATATCCCATTTTAATCACATCATTAAATTTGGACATACTACAGCTGTTGGCACAGAACTTTAAATAATGCAGGTGTTTAAGGGAAACAGGATGGAGGACACCAGCAACATCCTCCCAACATCATTTCTGAAAGTCACATTACTCATCATCTTGTTCATACCTGTGACTTCTGGATACTTCAGCAGGAGCAGGAGAGCATACCTCAAGGTTGTGCTTGTTGTCTCTGTCCCAGCTCCAAACAAATCAAATACAGTGGCTACTAAGGCTTCAGAAGTAAACTCCGATGATTGATTATTCTTTTCCTAGGAATGATTTAATGCAATAATCTGACAAATTCATATGCCTGCATATTTAATTATAATGAATCCATAATAAGTCATATTGTTGTAAAGTTATCCAATACCTAAAGTAGAAAGTATAATATTAGAGAAAACTACTGTGTGATATAGTACAGGCTGTAGATGAGTTGATCTAAACTGTATTTCTTGCCCCCTAGCCCTTAATTGCTCCAAAATTCCATTCATCAAACTCTTTGCAGTTAGCTGAGTTAGGCATCATATTTTTTGCCAAAATGATATTCACAGAAACCTGCTACTGCCACTTCTTCTATTTCCTCCTTCTTACGGAAACACAAATGTGAAGGAGAAAGTAGAGTAGATCTCATCTTGGGACATGAGGATTTAATCATGAAAATGAAGGCCTACATATGAAATATAATGGTGGGGGAAAAGAAGATATTCAACTCTGTAATGCTTTGGGACTACTATATCATCCTTATATTGCCCCACAATGAGACACTGTGTATTTGAGTTAAATATTACCACTGTTTGTTTAATTATTACCTAGATTTTCCTTTATTTGTGGACAAATGCAATCTAAGTTAATAGAAATAGGTAAATAGACCTATATCATTAAAAAGTTATAAGCCTGAATCAATAGTCTCCAATTCTCTTCTGTCAGAAATTGGCATGGACTCATTATTGTCTGCAGACCTATTACAAAGTTGACATTGTATAAAACCTAATATGACAGCAAAGCACAGAAAGAATTATTGGGAAAAAGAGTAGGTTAACAATGACAAGATAAGGCCAGCACTATTGTAATAAAGATGGGAAGCAAAACACAACCTGATCTAAGGAACATGAACAGGAATAAATAGATTCAAATCAAAAAGACACTGGAATCATGCAGACAGACAGTTGAGGCATTAACTGCCTGTACAGCATAAAATACAGAATAGTTGTAATGCACATGATGAGGCCAGGAGACTAGTTGAATAGAGTTCTTATGAGTTGGAAGTTAGAAGAGAAAGCAAATGAGAAGGGACAGTAAGTTTGGTTCAGGGCTGTGGAGATGATGTGACACAGAATTGACAACAAGGAGGTAGTTTCAAATACTGAGTACAGGAAATCTTTAATGTACAAAATATGTTATTTTCTTTTTTAAAAATGTTAACTAACATCAGGACAGATTGCAAAATATATTATTTTCTAATCAGTTCCTAGACTAGCGTTAAAGTAGTAATGATTTTATAGTGTCTAGGTGACCTGTAGCATGTCTAATATTATGGAATCAACACATGGACTAGACCCTCTCAACTAAAGAGGACTAGACCCTCTCAACACGTGTACTTGCCTTATAATTTTTTATCCACTCAACCAGTCTATGTCTCTTCAGAGGACAATCCAAGCCATTCACATTTACTAAGAGGATTGGTATATAGGGTATATTTTTGTTCATATTGTTGGGTAAGTTCTTACAGTTTTCTTTTACCTCTCAAGTCATTGTGGAATCCAAGTACTGGACTTTAAGTCCTAAGTGATTTTACTTTGGTGAGTGTCCATTATGCTTTCAGTATACAATGCAGGCCTGAGTACTTCCTGCAGGGCAGGTCTGTTCTTCGCAAATTCCATCAGTGATTGCTTGTCTGGGATAGTCTTTGTTTCTGAATTTTAGTTTTTCTGGAATTCTAGGTTGGCTATTATTCAGTTTTAGAAGATTGAGGATGGGTCCCCAGTCCCTTCTGACTTGTAGGCTTTCAGTTGAGAACTCTACAGTTCATCTGATATGTTTTTCTTTGTAGGTTATCTGCTGTTTTCATCTTACTGCTTAAAGGAATCCCACTTTCAGGTTTACTTTGGCCACTCTAATAATTTTGTGACATGGTGACTGCCTTTTGATGTTGAGTCTCCAAGAGTTCTGTGTGCTTCTTGTATCTAGATATATAGATTTCTGGCCATCTAGGCATATTTTCCTCCAGTATTCCAAGAAATGGATTTTCCAGGCCTTGTGTGTTTTCTTCTTCTCTCTCTGGATGCCTATTATCCTTATATTTGTTTTCTTTACGTAATCCTACAATTCTTGTATGTTTTGTTTTTATCTTTTGCTTCTGTGTTCTTTTTCTTCATCGGATTTGTTCAGCACATAGGCGTTATCTTCAAGCTCTGAGATTCTCTTCTGCATGTGATCCATTCTATTTTTAAGGCTTTCCACTGTGTTTTGAAGTTCCTTGAATGCATCTTTCATTTCCAGAATTTCTGTTTGGTTCTTTTATAATGTTTTGATTTCCTTAGAGAATTTTTTATTCATTTTCTATATTGTTCTTGTGGCTTCTTGGTATTGGGTTTCTCTTTTCCCTTTGATTCCTTTGAGTTTTCTTACAATCCATATTCAGAAGTCTTCCTCCATCATTTCAATGATTGCATTTAAATTAGTATCTTTTTTTGAGGACCTAATGAGTTCTTTTGGGGGTGGCGTTTGTCTCTGATCTTTCATGTTTCCTGCATTCTTTCACTGGTTCTTTGTCATCAGGCTACTTGGTCAAGAACTGGGAGTGCTAAGACTGGTTTGTGTCCCTAATTTCAAGCCCCCAAGGGACGTTCTTGAGAGTGGTGGGAAGAGGCGTGCTAGTCTTGTATTGCCTTAGAGGTATTTTAGCAAGTTGGGTTTCCTCTGATCTGTTGTCTTCACCTCTTGCTAATGGAGATTAGTGAGTTTGGTCCTCCAGCTTAACTGCCAGGTGTTGGATCACACTTGTGTATATGATTCCACTTCCCTCTAATAGCTTGAGATAGAGGGCACTGTGTTAAGGTATGGGGTTACCCTCTCTGTCATTGGTTGTAGATTGCATTGAGGAGCCAGTTATTGGGGTAATCTGTTGCTTTTATGTTAGTCTCTTGACTACCCAATGTGTAATAGAATGCCCTGAACTTTAGGAAGACTCTTGCCACTAATAAGGGTTACTTGGGCCCTATTCACCCATAAGTGGGCGTAAACACAAGACAAATCTCAGCTGATGCCTGGAAGCCTGTGTGTGTGTGTTCTATGGTTGCTTAACCTACCACTAGGAGGAGCCACTAATATGTTATTCAGGGCTCTTTCACCAGGCTTGGAAAACTTCTTCGAATAGGAAGAGTCAATTGGTGGAATTGCTAAGTTCTCTGACCATGATTTTCCTTTCCTGTCTAGAGCCCCACTGTTGGCAGCAGCCAGACATGGAGAGCAAGCCCTAGAGTTAAGTAGTTATTAGCTGAGGTACACTGGTCCAGCAGGCCCAATCAATGGTCTCTCAATTATGCTACAGCGCAAAGGCGCTGCAGATTCACATGAGTCACACAGGGAAAGTGGCTTTTCTCACTTCTCCCCACTTCTAAAGGTGGAGCCTGCCTTGCCCGGCCGGAAAGTCACTGGGCTAGAGGAGTGGTGTTGCCTGACTACCAAATGCCCCAGAGTCAGGGATCTGACAAAAGGCAGCCTCCCGCCACTAGGAAACTAGTTTTGGGGGGAAGCACTCAAGATTCACCCACCAACACAGGCCCAGCTAGCCAAATCAATAGATCGTGGATGTCCCACAGATTCACAGCAGCCACACAGAGCAAGAAGTTATACTCAGTCCTCAGCCCTTCCAAGGATGGAGCCCACAACGCTTTGGGGGAAAGTCCCAGGTTGGTGGATGGTTGCTGACCAAAACTGTAATATGCTTCAGTATGTGGGTTGTGGACCCCAAAAATGGCAGCCACCCACCTGTGAGAGCCGGCACCAGGGATGATGGCTCAGGAGTTGGCAAAGGCCACATTGGTGAGCTGAATCAACAGGATGTCAGATGTCTCTTGTGTATCATAGTCCTCCAATCTCATGCCTGTCCCTCAGAAAGTCTTCCTCTTTCTGACCTATTCCAAGCCAGCCCAATCATCAATGGTTTCCAGGGGCAGAGCCCCCTTTTCAGTGTTCACCTCCTTTTTTATGGAAGCACTGACCACCAGAGGCAAGGTGCCTGTCTCCAAACTCCCTCACGCAGCCACAGGAAGCAATCACTCAAACCCAGTCCCTCCCTACCCAGTGCAGTATTAGCACAGAAGACCAGGGAGGTCAATATATTTCCTGCTTATTCTACCCTCTCCACAGAGCCCGCCTTCTCATGCCACAACTTTGCACTGACTTCAGACATGTCCCTGTCTGAGTGGATGTGGAAGTCAGTGTAGGAGTCAGGCATACTCTTGTGGGTCAGATCCTACTCCACTTGCTGGCTGGGGTGGTATGGACCTCACACTCTCTATTCTCTACTGTTTATTTCACACATATCTCCCATTCACCTTTTTTTCCCCTGCATTGTGTGTCCCACCCTGTCTCTCCACAGCTTCACAACGCTGTTCTTAACGGGGAGCAATCCACTCATGTGTAGCCACCGAGTTCTTCACTTCCTTCTCTGGGAGCAGAAAGCCAGAAGGTCACCTATAATCCATTTTTCTGAAAACCTCTCCTATCAGCAATTTTTAGTATATTATTTCACTGATTTATCTGCTCCATAGATTCTCAAGAAAAATCAGCTGTAACTTTTGTTGAGAATCTTTCTATGTAATAAGTCATTTCTCTCCTGCTGATTTCAACATTTTCTCTGGGTCTTTGGCTCAGGACAATGTCATTAAAATATGTATTGGTATGACTCTTTTTGGTTTTACACTTTTTAAAGTTATTGAGTTTCCTAGGTATGTATATTTGTGGTTTTTCATCAAATTTGGAAAGTTTTCAGCCATTATTTATGGGAACTTTTTCTCTCTCTTCTCTTTTTCGGAGACCATAATGTGTATATTGGTAACCTTTCTAGTAATAGAATTCCATAGGTTCCTTAGCTCTCTTCAACTTTCTTCACACTTCTTCCCCCTACTACTACTCGGGGAAATGTCTGTTGCCCTACCTTGTGTTGTTTTCTATTTCTTTCTTCTCCCTGCTCAAGTCTGCTGTTGAAATCTCTGGTGAATTTTTGGTTTCCTTTCAACTATTATATTTTAGCACTAGAATTTCT